GACTGGAATTTACTCAAGAAAAAAAACATGATTGTTGATGATTTTGGGGAATCGGCGGATATTTAGGGGGAGTTATTTTGGAGGAAGATATAATCTTTTTTTTTTCTTTCTATTTTCGGAAGAATAATTCGGGGCATTTTTGTAAGTTACAAGTAAAAGGAGTTCTCACTAATTGGTGATTTAAAATTGGTGTTATCTTAATGCCAAAATTCTATGAGGGTCCATTTGGATGGAGGGATTTGGGGAGGGATTTGATTTGGGGAATGAATTTGAAATGACTCCAATTTTGGAGTCATTTGAAATCCATCACTATTGCTCCAAAATCAACTAAAAAGGAGGGGTGGGGATTTGAATCCATCTCCAAATCCCTCAATCCAAACAAGTCCGAGGGATTTGTTATTATGGATTTGAAATCCCTCCCCCAAATCCCTCCATCCAAATGCACCCTGAGGGACTTTTGTCAATAGCCCCTATTAATTTGATGTTTAAGCGCATTATTATATTAAAAGAATCTTATATTTGACATAATCTCCTTGTATTTTTGAGTTGGCATGGGCTTATTCATGTCAATTGATTGTGAGTAAATTGCAGCATTTGAGAATCGTCAAGTGTCCGAGTAAATTATGGACATTGGAAGTTAATGATGGAAGGGCAGATATTTTTTAGGGAAAATTTGTTAGACGTCCCTTATTTTGGACTTATATTGGTAAAGATCATAGTTGTTAGATGAATATATGTATAGGTTTTTTGACTTAAAAAAATAATATAAATAAAATAAAATAATTAGTGTATAGACATAATCACCCCCAATTAATAAGAAAACAAATCTCATATATCTTCTCTTTCCAATCTCACCTCTCTTTCCAATCTCACGTTTCTCTCACCTTATATTTAATCTCTCATCTTTTTCTCTCATTTGTGTCTCACACCTCTCTCCCTCTCTCGAGCTTCTCTGGGTTTTTTTTTTTCTTTTCTTTTTCTTTACATTTTTGATAAAGAAATATTATAGAGAAGGAAAAAATAATAGGGATTTTTTTGAATTATGAGATGATTTTTCGTGGAAGAATTAAAGAGGACAACAAAAATTCAGAAATCCAAAATCATAGCCAAAATTCACATTGTGTCTCCCGTATATGAGAACCTTCCCATCGTTTTTGTTGTTAGCAATTTCCGTTTGCAGGTTTGTTTAACTTCGTTTGTTGTTTGAAAAATTGCGTTTGATGTTGAGATTCGATTGCTCTGGTTTACAATTTGCAAGGTATGTCTTAAGTTACATTTTACAAACATTTTGTTTAATGTTTTTGTTATTTGCAAATTGTTCCAAAACAATTTTTTGGTTGATGTTTTTAATGATGATGAATTTTTTTTTCCAGGTTGCTGTTTGCATTTGGCCAAGTCATAGGTAGTTTATCGCTTGCAATTCAATAATGCAAGTTTTGCTGAATGTTTTTCTTCAGTTTGTTGTTTGCAGAGTCATATGTAATTTTTTGTTTGTAATTCAGTAATACAAATTATGATATTTTGGTTTTTCAGTTTGCTGTTTGCATTTGGCGAAATCATATGTATTTTGTTGTTTGCAATTCAATAATATAAAATCTAATTTTCAGTTTGCTCTTTGCAGTTCGCGGAGTGATAGGCGTCGCTGTTCCCGGATCATAGGCGGTGGTGGGGTTGTGGTGGCGTTTTTAGAGTCTTAGTTTGTAAAATAAATTGTATATTTTTGTTATGAATAAATTTATTTGTTTGAGTTAATATTTGGAAGAGAGATGTTTGGGAATTTGTTTTGATAGGAAGATTTTTGGGGATTTGATTTGATTTAATTAAGGGTATTTTTGCCGTAATAAATATTATTAATTTATTAAAACATTCAATTTTGAGTTGGATTTACATACATAAATTATAATATAGAGGAACCTATAACAAATTGCCCCTATTTTTTAAGGCTCGTGTTTCTTTGTCGTAGGTGGGTAGTTTAAGAACCTAATTTTTGATATTTTCTCATACAAGAGATATTAGTAAATCCCATAAAATCACTAATTTTGATATTTTGCCAAAACAAAAATTCGAAAAACTTAACAAAATAAATGTACCCAGGAACTGAATAATAGAAGTCTATAATTAATTGCATAGATACAGACAAGAGAATAGGAGCTAATATAAATATTGTTAAAATAAGTTGTATTATATGAAATTAATACAACAAAACGTAATTAATTAAATAAATGACAATTATAGCTATCAAATAAGCGGAGAAAATCCCTTAGAATTTATCGGGAGCAAACTTACTTTTATTAATAAGATACATTTTTTTAAGATTTCGTTTTTATTTTGCGCAGGTGCAAATAGTGTACAAAGAGCTATATTGGCAGATTGTGCTAGTGATTACACGCAAAGGACAGGCATGCAAAGGACAGGCATGCTAAGCTGTAGATACGCCGACACACGGGGACTAGTGACTTAGCCCGTTGATCGGTGACCGGTCTCGTAAACGATTTTGGGTTCCTCATATCATAACCCGTGACCCCCGACATATCAACCCGGATGACCCGACGGGATAAAGAAAATCTAAAAGAAAATGAAAATCCATCAAAGGCTAGTTTGCCCTTGACCAGTGGCGGATCTAGCTATGGTCTAGGGGTGCAGTTGCACCCCCTTGAACAAATAATACTCTTATACATATATTTACAGAAAAGGCTATTGGTTGAGGTGGTAAAGAGATTCTCGTTCTATTAATAGGTCGCAAGTTCGATTTCCCACCCTCTGAAACTCGAATTTCTTTTTCAAATCTTAACTTTTTCACATTTTTCACTTTAAATAATTCCACAATTCACCTAAAATTTGTAAATTATAAATTTTTGGTCCACTATTTTTTCAAATCTTAACATTTTCACATTTTTTCTCTTTAAATAATTCCACAATTCACCTAAAATTTGTAAATTGTAAATTTTTGGTCCACTATTTTTATAAAGTGATATTAATTTTTTTTTTTCTACAATTTCGAACCCTCTTGGCAAAAATCCTGGATTCGCCACTATCCTTGACCTACTGGATCTGACATGTGTCAAACCTACAATTCGACGAGCCAAATTAAAATATATATTTTTTCCTTTTGAAATCAACGGTCGGGATCATAAAAAAAAAATTGCCATGCGATTGAGCCGGGCCGACCCATAACCAACCTGTAACCGGCCAACCTGGCGGGTCCTAACCCTTCGAACAACTTGTTCTTGATTATGTGACCATTAGTTCAATAGTTTTAACTCATGGCCCGACGAGTTGTAATAATGCGTGGGCATGCTGAGTTGTTGATCGGACGAGCCAACCTTAAACGGGCCTAGAGCGCACAAGGGGGTCTATTTGAACACCACTATACGCATTTATTGGCCAAACTAGTAAGGTAGGGAGCTCTTATTTGTATATAATTATTCGATATGACCAAATCACACAATTTTTTATGTTCTAAATTTTTGTTTATTAATTAATAAGTAGTAAATGAATCCGCATCCAAACATATAGGTGAATGGGATAAACATCTACGCTCGTTCAATAACTTGTAAATTGCACGAGAGATGTAAGCCACACGATCATATTCATGTGGAATTTGAATTTGGGACATTTGACATATCTTTGTTGCTTCTTTTACTAGGCCATCCTTTTCATGGCCATAAGCACTAATTATTTTTTTAACAAATGCATTGGAATATTAATGAATTAAAATTACTAGATTGTCGTAGTTGACAAAACTTGTAGCACTTTCCGGTCAATTAGTTTTGGAGCAAAATAGTACTCCCTTTGTTTTACAATATCTATCTTTTTTTTAGACATTCTTTTAGGTTTCCGGTCAATGTGGTTATTTTATGTTGGGGAAACGAATTCGTGATAGATACACCTATGTCCGCCTCCATGCATCCTCCGGTTTTGGATGGAACAAAATACACCTACTGGAAACTAAAGATGAGGGCATTCATAAAAACAATTGATGAAAGGACTGATGAGCCTTGTTGACGGGATGGACTCCTCCATAACAAACTAGTGAAGATGGTGATACCAAGTTCTACATGAAGTTGATTGGACCACTGAACATATTTCAAGAGCCAGTTACATCTCAAAAGCATTAAATGCCATTTTTAACTCTGAGGACACCACAATATTCAAGCTTATCTCCGTATACACAAGTGCAAAAGATGCTTGGGACGTACTTCAATTGCATTATGAAGGGTCTCAAATCGTGACAAGAACAAACCTCTGATTAATGTCCCCAAAGTTTAAACGACTAAGAATATATGAAAATGAAACCATTTCCAAACAATGAGAAGATCATTGATTTGGCAAATAAATTTCAAGTACTTGAAGGTCCATTGAGCAATGAAACACTAGTCAACAAAGTATTGAGAACACTCCCAGAACGGTTTAATATAAAGGTTACGACAATTGAAAAATTGTCTGACACATCCACCATTAGACTTGATGAACTAATGGTAAGTCTCAAGTCTAGTGAGATAAATGATGAGAAGGAAAATAAACTAATAGGGGTGAAGTATGTGACTAATGCACTGCAAGCAGATGTTGCTCACAACGTCACAACACACGATGATGAAGATTTGGATGCTGAAGCTTGTTTGAACAATTTTGCTCTTCAAATCAGAAAACTCTAACAAGGTCAAAAACGGATTCAAAACCGACCGAACTACAGACAAAAGCTTCGGACGGCCGCCTGAAATCTAAGATGGCCGTCCGAGACCCCGAATCTGCACAGTAAGGGAGTTTTAATTGGACAAGGTAGCTCTTTCCTTTTGATGAAGTCTTAACCACTATATAAACACAATTCAATGGGACCCAAACACGAAATTTTACACCAAAAAAGGCAAAGATCAGAGAACTCAAAGATTCAAGCATAACTTTTCTTATTTCTTTTATTTATTCTATTTTGTTTATCATAAGAATTACGAGTAGCTAAGTCTCTATCTCTAGCATTTTATTCGAACCCTGTGTGAGACTTGTGAACCTAGTTCTATGATTTTATGCAAGAATTAATTTTGATTATTTCATCTACTTGATTTATTATGCGCATGAACTTGATCACTTTATGTCTTTTATTTTTATTATTGAATATGCATGAATTGGAAGATCGGTTTAATAATTAGAATTGTGGTAAAAGAACGTTTGTTGTGTTAGCATAAAAATATAGTTAACCTCTTAGGTAGCCATTATTGAGATTTGTACTTAATGCTTTGTTCTTGATTGAATTGCATAGAAATATAGTGATTTAATCCTGAATAATAGAATCATAATACATTCGAAAATGTGTTATGACTTATTCAGCATTTGAGTTTAGTTACTAATCTGAATTTCTTGCATAATTGAGGGAATTGGGGGATTAATAATCTCATAGGGGAAGATAAAATCCTAGGCTCGTTCAAATTAATAAATCTTCGTGGTTATTTGATTTAATTGTTATTTGCTTTTTATAATTTAGTTTAATCTAGTAATCTTCTCCAAATTAGACTGTGTAGGGTGGGTTTGAACATAATTGTGAGAATCTAGCGCTTAGAATTAGATACTTAAATGTTCCTTGTGGGATCGATACTCAGACTTAATTGTCCACTATATTACTTGTACGATACGTGCACTTACGTGTAGGTATTTCCAACCAACAGTCATATTAGACCATACTGTCAGAAACTAAAAACTGATAGGTTGTTGTATCACGTGTCCCATAACACTTAGAACAACACCACTAAAATGAAAGTTGTCTTGTCTGAACCTAAGCAGATATGGATACCTAGGGATAAGAAAATTACTTGCAATGTTGTATATACATCTAGGAATGCTAACATTTCAGGATCATGGTACTTTGATAGTGGGTGTTCAAGATATATGACATGCACAAGAAACCATCTTATCAATTATCAACCACTGAAAAGAGGACAAGTTACATATTGTGAAGGTGAAAAATAAAAGTGACTGGAAAAGGAACACTGAATGTCATTGGTTTGCCTAAGGTTATAACAACGAGTTACATGTAGAAGGCTTAATGTCAAATCTTATCAGTATCTGTCAACTGTGTGACGACAATCTAAGAGTTGTATTGGATAAACTCTCTTGTTCTGTATATGATGCTAATCGTCATTGTCTTATGACAAGTTCGAGATCTACAAATAATTGTTATCAAACCTGTGAAAACGTCACGTACTAATGATGTCGGTATGTGACATCAAAAAATGGATCGCACCAACTTCAGAACATTCATATTGTTCCGTAAAAGGAATTCCAAATCTGAAGTTCCATGATGCATCAGTATGTGGAATGTCTCAAACGTGCAAACAAACAAAGGTGTCACACAAGGTGAAACAACAATTTGGAACTCAAAGATGTTTGGAATTACTGCACATGGATCTCATGGGTTCAACTGAGGTAGAAGAGTACTGGGGAGGGGGGGATGCGTTGATGATTTCTCTCGTTTTTCTTGGGTCTATTTCTTAAAAGAAAAGTCTAACACATTTCAAGATTTCAAGAAACTTCATAATTTAATTTGTAATCAGCTTTCTTTAAATATAGCTAGGATTAGAACTGATCATGGAAAAGAATTTGAAAATTCCTATTTTTCAAACTTCTCTGATAAAAAGGGAATCTCTCATGATTTTTCAGCCCCCAAAACTCCTTAGCAAAATGACATAGCTGATAGAAAAAATAGAACTTTGCAAGAAATGACTCGAGTAATGTTACATGCCAAAAACCTTTCAAAAAGATTTTGGGCAGA